CCGTCCTGGGGCCCTGTAACAGAACTCCGGCATCCCTGGCCCGACCTTGCCGGGGACTTGCTGGGGTACTTTTCGTCCGGGGACCCCCAGGGGCCGCCCCGCGCGCGCGAACTAGAAATACTGTTAACCAGGTACCGGAGATCTTAGCACGCCCTGGCCCGTTGGCCCGGCGAATTTCTCTTTTTCCTCCTCCTCCGCCTCCTCTTCCTCTTCATCATCCTAATTATGATCATCAGCGTCATCATCAGCACCATCATCACCATCACCGGCGCCATCATCATCATCATCATCATCATCATCATCATCACCATCATCATCGTCATCATCATCACCACCACCATCATCATCATAAGTTATTTGCCTGTCATATCACAACAAGTGCAAAAGCACGTCAACTCTGAATGGAAGGATTCTTAAAGCAACGACATGTCAACACAAATGAAATATAATCGGCCACGGCCACGGCCACGGCCACGGCCACAGCCACTGCCACGGCCACGGCCACGGCCACAGCCACGGCCACGGCCACGGCCACGGCCACGGCCACGGCCACGGCATGATTTTGGTCTTGGGATGCTCCTTTGGTCGCAAGTGAACGGAAGATGGATAATGTGACAGCGAATACAACTTGTCGAAACACTGTAACAAGGGCACACGCATCTTTGAATGGTGTGCCCACCCCCACGGGCCGAATGCACCCATTATGGTGGGGTGTCTCTTGCCCGGGGACGCGCCTGCCTTAAAGGGCTGCAGGCACCCGTGGTCCGTTCCGTCTGCGGCGTGACGCGGGGCAGGCCGACGTTGACACGAACGACACCTATGTTTCCGACGTAGGGAAAACACCACGTGTAAAGCGCTCTGCGAGCTTCCTCTTGACACTGTGTCTGGCTTCAAGCACGGTAGCTGCATTTGCCAGAAGATGTCGAGCCAGGCTACTAAACCCTGACTACCTGGCCTTCACAGAGGGGAGGAAACGACTGCCCCCTCGGCACCTGGCGGCGTGGCCGCAAGTGCCCTCTTTTTCTTTGAATGTCCGACCCCCCGCCCCCGTGACCAGAGCACTGATTGGAGCACAGAACGGCGGAGCCGACTTCGTATCCCGGTTCTCGGGCACCACAATCAGAGCGCACGTGCGAAGCCCCCTCTTTGGTAAAGCGACCACTGCTACTACTCTGGCTGATGGGAAAAATGATGCACCGCCGAAGACGAGCTCTTGGAGAGACGTTCGGCTGATAACCAGTTATTTGCCTGTCATACCACAACAAGTGCAACAGCACGTCAACTCTGAATGGAAGGATTCTAAAAGCAAGGACATATCAACACAAATGAAATATAATCGGCCACGGCCACGGCCACGGCCACGGCCACGGCCACGGCATGATCTTGGTCTTGGGATGCTCCTTTGGTCGCAAGTGAACGGAAGATGGATAATGTGACAGCGAATACAACTTGTCGAAACACTGTAACAAGGGCACAAGCATCTTTGAATGGTGTGCCCACCCCCACGGGCCGAATGCACCCATTATGGTGGGGTGTCCCTTGCCCGGGGACGCGCCTGCCTTAAGGGCTGCAGGCATCCGTGGCCCGTTCCGTCTCCGGCGTGACGCGGGGCAGGCCGACGTTGACACGAACGACACCTATGTTTCCGACGTAGGGAAAACACCACGTGTAAAGCGCTCTGCGAGCTTCCTCTTGACATTGTGTCTGGCTTCAAGCACGGTAGCTGTATTTGCCAGAAGATGTCGAGCCAGGCTACTAAACCCTGACCATCTGGCCTTCACAGAAGGGAGGAAACGACTTCTTCATCATCATCATCATCATCAGCACCATCATCATCATCATCATCATCATCATCATCATCATCATCATCATCATCAGCATAATACTCGTCCTCCTTTTCCATCCTCCTCCATCATGTTCCCCCTCCTCCATCCTTCTCTCCCCCCCCGTCTCGTGGGCGAAGGGCGCGCCAGAGGGCGAGCGAGGGGGCACAGCGGTTCCTCGGCCCCACGCGTGCATGTGCCCCCTCCCCGCAGGAGGGTCTCTGAGTGAGGGCAGCACCCCTCCGCCCCTCCCTCGAGGAGGGCGAGATCGACGGCCACGCCACAAAAGGGCACCCCACGCCGCCCCGATTCGCGGGGGAGGTCTCCCGAGACCAAAGCTTCTGCCAGCTCCCACCGTGCGGCTAGAGGTCAACCTGTCAATCTCTGGAAGGAGGAACTATTGTCTAAAACAGCGGGCTCTAAGAGGCCTCGAAGAGGTCCGAAGCTGGAGGTCAAATTTACCCTGCGACGCACCCTGCCCACTGGCACCAAGGGATGACACAAGGTGCGCCGGCAACCGTGTGACAGCATCAGTGCAAGAGACGATACACGGCGGATATCTACATCGTGCGAAGTGTGCGCTGCCGACTCGCGGAACACAGGTACAACAGGCCAGGAGGCATTGTAGTGGGCAGAAAAAATAAAGACATCGGGTTGGAAGAACAATCACCTCGGCAGAAGCAGCGGGATGATGGAGCATGGGCCAAATAAAAATCACATAGGCGGAGACACAACCAAACAATGAAACGTCGCGTTTCCCATGTCGAAAGGCCCAACACCTGCGCGACCAGCGTTCCGCGTTGCTGCAGCGCCTTGGAAAATTAAGAGCTCTCGTTGCTAGTGTAAGAAGCGGTCAAGGCCTAGCTCGCCCGCCAGCCTCTCCGCTTCCTCCCTGAACCCCTTAGTGCGGGCACCAAACGCGCGCAGGCGCGCCGCCAGGTCTGCGGGCGGGCATCGGGAAAGGGCGGCAGTTTCACACTTCGCAGCCCCCCCCCAAGGGATGGCGAGGTCTCTTTGGGATCTGCGTGAGGCCCCACTGTGCGGGCCTCCCCAGCAACCCTCGAACGCGGTGACAGTTTCACGCTTCGCAGCCTTCCAGGGATGGCGAGGCCACGCTATGGCCCCACTGTGCGGGCCCCCCCAGCAGCCCTCGAAAGTGGGGAACAGTTTCACACTTCGCAGCCCCTCAGGGATGGCGAGGTCCCGTTTGGATCTGCGTGACACTCCACTGCGTTGCCCCCCCCCAGCAGCCCTCGAAAGTGACGACAATCTCACACTTCGCGGTCCCCCAGGGTTGGCGAGGTCTAGTTTGGGTCTGCGTGTGGCCCCTCTGTGCTGGCTCCCCCAGCAGCATTCGAAAGTGGCGACAGTTTGACACTTTGCAGCCCCCCCCAGGGATGGCGAGTTCCCGTTTGGGTCTGCGCGTGGCCCCACTGTGCGGGCTCCCCCAGCAGCCCTCGAAAGTGGCGACAATTTCACACTTCGCAGCCTCCAAATGGATGGCGAGGTCTTCTTGGGATCTGCGTGGGACTCCACTGTGCTGCCCCTCTGGCAGCCCTCAAAAGAGACGACACTTTCACACTTTACAGCCCCCCAGGGATGGCGAGGACCCGTTTCGATCTGTGCGGCACGCCCCTGTGTTGCCCCGCCTCCCCGCAGCCCATGAAAATGGTGGCAGTTTCACACTTCGCAGACACCCCCCCCCCTGATGTGTGCGGGCTCCCCCAGCAGCCCTCGAAAGTGGCGACAGATTCACACTTCATACCCTCCAGGGATGGCGAGATCCCGTTTGGATTTGCGTGTGACCCCACTGTGCTGGCTCCCCCAGCAGCCCTGGTGACGACAATTTCACACTTCGCAGTCCCCCAGGGTTGGCGAGGGTGGGTCTACATGTGGCCCCACTGTTCTGGCTCGCCCAGCAAACCTCGAAAGTGGCGACAGGTTCACACTTCGCAGACCCCCCCTCTCAGGATGGCGAGGTCCAGTTTGGATCTGCGTGGGACCCTACTGTGCTGCCCTCCCATCAGCCTTCGAAAGTGGCGGCAATTTCACACTTCGCAGCCCCCCAGGGATGGCGAGATCCCGTTCGGATTTGCGTGTGGCCCCACCGTGCTGGCTCCCCCAGCAGCCCTCGTAACGACAATTTCACACTTCGCAGTCCCCCAGGGTTGGCGAGGTCTCGTCTGGGTCTGCGTGTGGCCTACTGTTCTGGCCACGCTGGGATCTGCAAGGGACCCAATCGTGCTGGCCCTCCCCCAGCAGCCCTCGAACGCGGCGACAGTTCCACACTTCGCAATCCCCCAGGATGGCGAGGTCCCGTTTGGATCTGCGTGTGGCCCCACTGTGCGGGCACTCCCGGCAGCCCTCGAAAGCGGGGAACAATTTCACACTTCGCAGTCCCCCAGGGATGGCGAGGTCCCGTTTGGATCTGCGTGACACCCCACTGTGTTGCCCCCCCCACCCAGCAGCCCTCGAAAGTGACGACAATCTCACACTTCGCAGTCCCCCAGGGTTGGCGAGGTCTAGTTTGGGTCTGCGTGTGGCCCCTCTGTGCTGGCTCCCCCAGCAGCATTCGAAAGTGGCGACAGTTTGACACTTCGCAGCCCCTGCGGAATGGCGAGTTCCGGTTTGGGTCTGCGCGTGGCCCCACTGTGCGGGCTCCCCCCAGCAGCCCTTGAAACTGGCGACAGTTTGGCACTTCGCAGCCACCCAGGGGTGGTGAGGTTCCGTTTGGGTCTGCGCGTGGCCACACTGTGCGGGGCCCCCCCCCCCCCCGGCAGCCCTCAAAAGTGGCGACGGCTTCACACTTCGCAGCCCCCGAATGGGATGCGAGAGGAGAGAGCCGAGAGCCGAGAGGAGAGAGCCGGGAGGTGGAGACCCCGCTGCTCTCTTCAAAACGAGAACCCAACCAAGGGAAGGCTGGTAATAATAGCAAGTGGAATCAGCTTATGCCCGCTCGCTTTCACATGCTCGCATGCCTTTCAGCAGGCGTGCACCAAGACATCGGCGCCAGCCCTCTACGCCTTCGATCGTCCCCCGCTTGGGGGGATTCCTTCTCTTTGCGGGGACGACGGGCGGACTTGGACAGGCGATCGCGCGGGTGGACCCTGCTGGGCGGTCGGGCCAAGTCGTGCGGAATCTTTCTTATTCCTCCTCCTCCTCCTATTCCTCCTCCTCCTCCTCCTTGTCTCGCTCTTGTAGATGCTCTGGGATTGGCTCAGCAAGCCAGGGCGGTTCATCATCTTGGTCCACGTCCGCCTCCCCCAACGCGAGATCGAGCCCACCAGCCAGGCGGACGTACAACAAGGAGCTCCGACTTTAGAAGATGAGCTACAACAAAGATATGTCCGGGAGCATTGTTCATCGCGAGACACGCGACGAATGCAGGACAATGGGCCCAGCGGTTTCAGACATGCTGTACAGCTCCTGAACGTGGCTGCCGACCGAAGCGAAATATTTCAGGGTATCGTCGGTAAGTGGTGCCGCTGCAGTGATGCGAGCGTGCGAAAACTGCACGCCTAGAGCCTATCGCCTCCTTTTTTATGTGTTTGAAGATAAGTTCCGCAAATCAATACCGCAACGGATAGCGCCCATCTCCGTCCTGCTGCATGGCGAACGCATGTTCGCAGCGTACTTTCTTCGCCCAGCCAATGATCCTCTGTTTGGTACCTTTGCTTCCTCGTGCCAACTGCTTGGACTTTCTCGGCCACCTTTTCCCAGACACGGGGGGCATCACCAAAACAAATAATCTCGACCAAACGACAGCGATCTCCGATGGTACCATATATCAAATCGTAAGGGCGGCAACATACACAATGCCCGTGGTCGCAAACAACCCGCCGCAGTATACACCGGCAGCGCCGTCGACCAGGAATGCCGCAATGTGGGAGAGGGACAGAAACGAAAGAATACGCTCCTCCTGCTCAGAGAACTCGGGAAGATAGGCGAGGCCAATTTTTGCGGTGGCGCACAAGCTGTCGTGGCACATCATCACAGCTCTCGGGCTAATTACCTGTGGTCCCAGATGCGCACACCAGGCAGCAAGCATGGCCAGGCTTCACTTTCTTGATCCGTCCCTGCAGCTCGACATCCTTACCTGACTCCCTTCCCAGCTTAAGCAGCGGCTTGCATTGCAGTAGCAGCACCTTGTGACCATGCGTTTCGTCAATTAGGGTATCCTGAACAGACTCGTCGCCGTACGCGATGTTGGCGTTGAGCATGGGGCACGCTGGAATCGCCTCCAGTGTGCGATTTACCATGGACATGTCTTCACATACCCCCAGTGTAACATCCGAGTGCAAGGTGTTGAGCGCCACATGCTCCACTGCATCCGTCGTGTAGATCCAAGCCACACTTCCGCCCGCAAGCATCGAGGCATACGCCGAACAATTACCCTGGCGACGTACCCAATCCCTGCGCAATGCGGGGCATGCGTAGCTTGGGAGACGTTATACGGAGGTGATCACGTGACATGGGCGCATATACTTCTGCGAGCGGCATTCGTGAGGCTCGCAGCCTCCCAAGGATTGCGATGTCTCGTTCAGATCTGCCTGGTGCCTCGCTCCGCTGAACCCGCCACCAGCCTTCGAAAGTTACGACAGCTCCGCAGATCGCAACCCCCCAGGCACGGCGGGCGAGGTCTTGCTCAGATCTGCGCGGTGCCTCACTCCGCTGGACCCACCAGCAACCCTCGAAAGTGGGGACCATTTCGCAGATCGCAGCCCCCCAGGTACGGCGAGGTCCCGCGCAGATCTGCGCGGTGCGCCACTCCGCAGGACCCATCAGCAGCCCTCGAAAGTGGCGACAGCTCCGCAGATCGCAGCCCCTCAGGGACGGCAAGGTCCCGCTCAGATCTGCGCGGTGCCTCACTCCGCTGGACCCACCAGCAACCCTCGAAAGTGGCGACAATTCTGCATATCGCAGCCCCCAAGGCACGGCGAGGTCTTGCTCAGATCTGCGCGGTGCCTCACTCCGCTGGACCCACCAGCAGCCCTCGAAAGTGGCGACAGCTCCGCAGATCGCAGCCCCTCAGGGACGGCAAGGTCCCGCTCAGATCTGCGCGGTGCCTCACTCCGCTGGACCCACCAGCAACCCTCGAAAGTGGCGACAATTCTGCATATCGCAGCCCCCAAGGCACGGCGAGGTCTTGCTCAGATCTGCGCGGTGCCTCACTCCGCTGGACCCACCAGCAGCCCTCGAAAGTGGCGACAGTTTCGCAGATCGCAGCCCCCATCGTCGGCGAAGAGAGGGCAGGAGGAGGCGGGAGGCGGGAGGAGGAGGGACGCGACCACACTGCTCGATTCAGAACGAATACCCAACCAAGGAGGGTTGGGAATAGAATTCGGGAGCGTTGAAGCCGTATGTGGTTACGTACGCTTCCAAACTGAGGCGCGCCAGCAGTGATGCAGACCTCGGCGACTCTTGCAGCCTCGTCACATACTTCGCATCGAGTCCACTTGGTCAAACATTCCCAAGGAAGAGAAGGGACCACACCCAGGCCCTGCATTAGGTACTAGCCGCTCTACCGCCACAGCGACCGTCGGACCGCGTCGCGACACCGTGCGCTGTAGACAATGTATCATGGTGCCAGCTAGGCATGTCGCTTCACTGTTGATGCTGGATATCGAAAATCGAGTCGCGTGCCTTTCGCTGGGAAGCACGTTTACAATGCATAGTTGTATCTGGGTAATCCGCAGCAGGCGGGATACTCTCGCTGGAGTTCCTGCTTCCGCGGCGCGCGAGGAACGACAAACAGAGCAGCCATGCTGACCTGCCCGCTGGGCCACGGCCCATTGACGATTCGGGAGACATGTACTGGGCCAGGCGCGGCGTTGATCTTGCGTGCCCTCGCATTTCGAAGCACGTCGGAACGGGTTGCGACGGCGATCTGCAGCCCGCCGTCGGCTGTCGCAGCGTCGCTGCGGCGCGCGCGGTGGTCTAGCGCGCGCACGTTCCCCGCGTAGAAGGGCCCTGGCTCCTGCGCGTAGTTGAATTCCCCCCCGCCCATCCGCACTTGCGCGGCGCGGGCCCGGAAAAGCGTCGCGGGCGCACACGGCCAGGAGCAGCCGCCGTCTGCGTGCCAGCCGCCACCCCGTTACCCTGGCCTCATGACCTGGATCAACGCGCCCAGGAACGCGTCGTCGGCGAACTCCTCTTCTGGATGGGGCTTCGCGCAGACTGCGAGGAGGGCCTCGGGGAGTTTGTCCCGGGCGACCGCCGCCGCATTTGCCGCGTCAGCTGCGCCAGCCGAGGTCGCAGCGTTCTCCGCGCTGCCCGCGCGGATGCGGCGAAGCGCTTCGACGGGGTCGGAGGTGATTTCACGTCGGGGTCCATGCTGCGGCACGTCGGGGGGCGTTCTTCGTCCACGATGCCTGCGCATCACGATTTGAACGCCTTTGCCGGCCCCTCCTGTCGGACGCGCGCGGGGAAGGCCTTGCCCGGCCCGAGGCGCTGCTCGGCCAAGCTGTTCCAGCTGGGGCACTCTTGCACATGCCTGAACCAATCCGGGTTGAGGTTTGCGGCCATGGTTCCGACGCCGTTTCTGCCCGCGGCCCCGCGCCGCGTCCTGGGCCAGGTCCGTTGGGGGCGCGCGGAGCAGTTGGCGCGCGCGCGGACTGCGCGGCGCGCGGCGGCGCAAAGGCAGTCGGTGGCTCCGACGGCGATGGCGCCGAGAGCGGTGGCGAACATGCACCAGGCGCTGCGAACGCGAGCAACCGGAACAACATTTCTCGCGTAACATCTCCGTTTTGCACGCGCTCTGGATAACTCAACTCTCGATTGGCATTCGGAGGCGCGGTCGCCGGCGGCCCCATCAGCTGGGCGCGCGACTGCGACGGGTGCGCCAGCGGCGTGGCCACGGCGCGCGCGGTTGGCGCGATTGTCGCGATTGTCGCCACCGCCCCCCTCCTCCTCGACTCGCCTCCTCTGCCGCGCCGCGTGCGTGGGCGGAGGGGGGGGGCGACGGGGGGGCCCTGGGCGGGGCCTCGGGGGGGGTGCGCGCGCCGGAGGGCGGGGCCTCGAAGCTGGGCGCCGGGGCGTCGACGTTCGGACTGGCCGGGGGCAGGTGGGCGGCGCGCGCGCCGGTCAGCGCGGCGCTCCAAAATTGGTCGGCGTTGCCGGAGCGGCCCCGGACGACGCCGCAGAGACCGTTGATTGGGTTTCGCCCGTGGCCCTGGGCAGCGACCTCCGCGCCGACTTGAATCCCGAGGTCAGGGTCGGCGGGGGTCGCGGGGGCAGGGTCGCCCCAGGAGCCCCCCTGGGGCGGCGCGCGGCGCCCCCCCCTGGCGCGCGCGCGCCCCGCGTCCGCGGCGGAGGGCGGGGTCGGGGCGGCCAGGCGGCGGATTGCGGCGCGGGCGCGGGCGACGACGGCGGGGTCGCGGCCCCGGTGGCGCGCGCAATGAGCGCGTGGATCGCGGTCGGTGGGGCGTCAGCAAGGGCGGTGCTCACTGGCCCCGAGGCGTGACCTGCGAGCCTACGACGGGCGGGCGACGCGCGGGCCGCGGTCCGCGGGCGCGCGGCCCGAGGGCGCTCGTTGCTCGCACTGGGTTCCGCTCGCAGCGCCCGCGGCGGCGGGCGAGGTCGCGTCGTTGAAGGGGGCGTGACGAAGTGCGCGAAGACGGCGAGCAGGGCGAGCGCGGTCCGTTTTGGGGAGACAAGACCCCGCGCGCCTACGATGCCGAGGGCGCCCCCGATGCGCAGCGGGGGTTCGCCGACGAACAGGGGGCGCGGCCGGCCACCTAAGTGGCGCGGCGGCCAAGGGGGGGCCTTGGGGCCCGAGAGACGCGGCCCCGGGCCCGGAAGACCGCGGAAAGCGAGGCCGCGCCGACGGAGCAGGACAGGCCGCCGAAGATCACGGGGATCGCGGCGCAGCGCGCGCAGCGCACGCCGATGCCATCGCGGCCGCCGAAGGCGCCTTTGTGGAAGAGCGGCAGGGCGCGGAAGATCAGGCGCAACGGGCTGGCGCCGTTGATCTTCGGGGCCCGGCTGGCCGCTGCAGCGGCGCGGCGGCCCGCCGGGTGCGCCAGAACGCGCGGCGCGCGCAGTTCACCCCGAAGACGCCGCGCGTCGTCTCGAAGATCTCGGAGAGCGCCCCCATGGAGAGGGGGGGGCGCGAGGCGGGGCGGGAAGGGCATGTTCGCCCAAGATGGGAACGCAGAAGGCGTGATCATCGTGATGAA